TAAACTTGGATACCACCATTTGGGGCTACAAAGATCTCATCAAAAAAGTAAAGTGGTTAACCAACAATATGAGAGTTGAGGTAAAATGGGTTAGTAGGTCTGCTAATTCTTTGGCTGATGCTTTAGCCAAACAGGGGGTTTATAGGGAAGATCTTTTTTGTGCTTCTATGTAAGTTATTATTAATTTGGAAATTTGTACTTAACTAGCCCGGAGAGGTTGCAACTCGTGCCTTTCCTAGGGGACTTTGTACTATTGTCTATTGCTGATTAATAAAATTATTTCAATTATCAAAAAAAAATCAAGGGATGACAATACAAAATTCTTTTTGTCCCTTTTCTCATAAATTACAAATGCAAATACTATTGATTGAAAAAGCATAAATACAAAGAAGGGATAGTCCCAAAAATGTAGGGATCCCCATCTAGTAGCACATAAAGACCTAAATCACAAGAGAATCCCAGGGATGCATAAATAAATCATGATAGGATTATCCTAGAAATGCATAAATCTAGATGGATTTTTCTTCACCAAAACAAATAGATGAGAGATGGTTTGACTAAGAGTCAACTCCCCACCAGAGATCCACCTAAAGCTTAATTTTATAACACACTGCCCACTTCAAATCCAAAAAGAACTAAAAGGTGGGGGGTGGGGGGGTGGGGGGAGGGAAGAGAGAGAGAGAGAGAATTGTGAATGGCCCATAGATTTCAAAAGACAGGAAAGAGTGGGTTCCTGGTATATGAATCCTTCTAACAAATCAGGCATATCCTGAAGGTTAGTAAAATTGAAACCAACTCTTAGAGAAATAATATTTTCTTCCAAGAGCCCGCTTGTTACAATTTTTTTCCATAGTCAACTCCTCAAACTCTAGAGCATATTACCTTGTGTATGTATCACCATGTGTTTGAGAAGCAAACAAGAATGACATAACTGATTTTTTTTTCTAATAAGTAACTGAATAATTCTACCCAACCAATATCAGAATCAACAATTCTGAACTTGCTCAATTTGACCATAAAGACCCAATTTGATTTTATGAATCGGTGGATACCCTTAAGATTGGGGATGATGTAATACCACATAAAAGTGGTATCATTAGCAAACTCGTGGCATAAAATATCCACTCCTTAAATCTTCAAGTACTCAAGCAAAAAAACATGAATTAACGCAGAATTCATTTAAAGCATCATTTGGCTAAGACCCACCATGGAATAGGCCATTGTAACAAATGCTGTAAAAAATGAGGATAGACAAGATGAAGCCTTGAATACTCATAATTCTGGAAATAAAAAGCATGAAGAAGCAAATCACAGAATTTGTAGCATTGTCACGGAATTTTTTCTTTAAACAAGATGTTTATACTAGATGTATCAGTACCCAAACAAGGCAATCAGAAGCACAAGGCCACCATTAACTCATAATGGAACAAAACCATATACAAAAGTGTAGTTGTGCATGTCTGTGCACACACAGTTTGGAATGTTCTACATTTTAAATTAGATATTAATCCATCTTTATATTTTCCTTTCTTTTTCTTTCTTATTGAAAACAAGGGGGACCTTAACAGAATGTAAATTAATGATGTATAACAAAGTAAAATATAGGGAAGAAGCATCCATTAAATCAAAAAGGAAAAGCATATGCATGAAACCACAATGTATGATAAAATAAGCATCTTTTAGCCTTTCTCAAAATCCTCTCATTTGAGAAGATAACATCTGGTGATATATAAGGTATGATGTGAAGCAAGATGGCTTTCTCTACCTCAGTAACATTTAAGAAAAAATCAGTAACCTCTGTATGAAGTTCAGTATTACCCAACCAGGCAGCTACGTTACAGAAAAAACATTTAAACCATCAAGAAGTGTTTGATTTGATTTATGTATATATGCAGACATTGACCACAACCAAGATGAGCTTATAACTAAAGGTCGTTAGTTCTTAGTTGGATCTATAACTCTAAGTGAGAGGAGACTTCAGGAGCTCCAAAATGAAAATAAGTGCAAGGAACAAAGTGAACTCACAGTAATTTGTCAATTAAATTATCATGAAGTTTACTAATGGAACAAAGACATGTACCATTGACAGTGGTAGTAGTAGTAAATTTTTAAATGCAAGACAAAATACCAGCAAACAGTCATGAAAAATAAATTTTTAATAGCGGAAGCTTTGACATTAATTGGAAAAAAGAATGTCATACATCCAATAAAGCTTTAGCCTACCAGTGCTTCTAGATAAAACTCTGGGACATAAATGAATATTGAATCCACTTTGCTAAGAACCAAGAGCAATTGAACAACCCACATGCATGTTGCATACATTCCTCTTAGCTTCCAACGAGAAAACAGAGAGATCCGGTACCTGAAAAGCAGAAGAAAGAGTTATAAGAGAAACATGGACAGAAAAAAGGAAAAGAATCTTATCAACATCTAAAGTAGGATCTCCTACAAGTATTACTTCATAAATATATCATTCCTATAATCTATAGAGGACCTCTGCTCTCTGGTACATGCTATTAAGGAGGCTAGACCTTTGGCATCAAGTATGAAAGTCTCATTCAAATGGGGTTTGAAAATCAGTTAATGCTCTATAGACACTTTAGCCAAAGAAGGGGTTGCTGCACATGGAGAACTGTATTAGTGGGACAGACCTTCTGGGTTAGCCAAGAAAGATTTTATTTTGGCTACAACACATGAGAAGCTGCCCTTGGGAGGGGATCAATAGAGGGAAATGACTGCTAATATCTCATAGGCTGAGCAAAACGATGAATCCACCCATGGAGAGGCTTGCATCGGATTAGCTAGCTGGTGATGCAATAGTTTACAGAAGCAACAACCAGTAGCTGGTCTAAGAGAACGATCAGCCACACTGGGACTAACAGCCCTTATTTTCCATTTCAATAAAATTTTCCTGATCTTGTTATCAAACCAACAAAAAAAAAAAAAAAAACTAATACAAATTTGAAGAACCAATTATATTCCACGGTTCATCGCTAATATTCACTAACTTCTAAAATGGGCCATAACTCAATAATGGTCCTGGCTATCCAAAGTCCTAAGAGGGGTAAACTTATACGGACCTAACATTTCACATTTTTTGGCACAAAGTGTCTGCTCTTATATTTGAACCCACATTCTCACATTTGACAGCCCAAGACTTTACCATTACACCAAGCAATGACCCTTTTAACATCTACTAGTTAATAAACTAGAGGAATTCCCCGTAATCTTATATCATTATTAGATATTAGAAAGTACTTTTTGCAAACAAGTACCACTATTAAAATTAAAGCAACTAATACCACCATTAATAATGTAACTTACAGATGTATATTAGGGTATGATGGGATAATGAAGCAAAGCCAATGAGTTGAGGGGGGGAGGGAGAAGGAAATAAAAGAAGAGAAACAACCATAAAGCATATTTAATCAAATTGATAAAAACAATATAACTGATTTAAACCAACTGGAGAAAACCCACAAATATAGCATAGCATGTGCTATGTTGAGGAATAAACACCAAACAAGAAAGGAATGAAAAGTTGTAACAAATAAGTTTACATGATGGTCATTTTACCATGCACATTGTCTGGCACAATCAATTAATTCTTCTCGGTAAATATTTCGAGCTTCCTTCAGACGCTTCAGTTGCTCACTGCAAACTCTTTCCTTCATTTGTTTGTCAGTTTCCTCCAAGAGAGAAATTAATTGTGACTGGTGAGACATAAAATATGATGCCTGCATCCAAGATAATTTATTAATGTTTCAACATGCACGTTGAAAGCAAATAAGAGCACGAATTTCAGTACTACATCCAAAGGAAAAAGTATGTCCCATGTGAAGAGAAAAGAGAACAAAAATTAATCAGATGAATGCAATCATTCAGGACCCAACATACCACTAGCCTATAGGGGAAACAAAAACATAAAGAACCATAGAAACATCTACATATAATGATATAATCCCTTTAGTAGTATTGTGATCTCACCTGCTTAAAGTTAGGAGTAAGGCCTAAATGATACAATAATAGCATAGCATCTAAAAGTTCCACTTCTCTAAGAATTGCTGAAGGTGGATTGCTCATCCTTGGTACAATTCTCAAATGCTGCACTGTTTGATAACCAAATTCAGATTCTGGTTGATCACTTGAACTGGGTTTATCCACTATTTCATCAGTCAAACTTCCTGCACTGCACTCTGCAGCAACATGAGCAGATCTCTCTGGAATCGGGCTGCAATGGCCCCGGAAACATTTGGCTGTATACCTAATTGGATCCTTCATGACTCTTGTAAAATCAACATCACAGCTTGAACAACAACATGGCTTCTGAGTAGTAGAGTGTGTTACTCTTGTTTCTTCATCATCCACACAGCCTTCCTCCCACTGGATTTCCTCTGCTTCCTCATCATTTACAGGGTGAGATCTCAATAGATGATTGAATGATCCTCCAAGCCTAGAAATGTCAGCACGATGAGGATCATTCTTCACAAACAAACCTACAGGAAAAAATTGTTGTCCACCTCTATGAAGAAACCCTACATCATCTCCAACTTTTGCCTCAGAGCCCTTCATCCATCCAGAGATGCCTCCCTCAGCAAACCCCTCAGATAGAAAATGGAGGATCACTGTGTAGATAGAAACAAGAACAGAATTGCTTGAAACACCAGGAGGCAGAAGATTGTGATCAGCGGCCCTGTTCTTCAACAATAAATTCTGCAAAAATGTCCTGAACACTGACCCAGGTAACTGAAAAGGTGTTGTAGGAGGTATGAACTGTATGACCAGGTGGCAAAGCTCCCGATGCATCTCCTCAATCTGCAAATAAATAATTCTAGTGGCAGTCATCAATAAGCTCAAGTCTAAAAGCTTAATCAAATATTAGCTAACTCACACGATAATGCACTTGAAACATTCCATCCAAGATCAGCATTTATTCCTTGGCTGGAGACCAAAAGAAGAGGTTGTTGAACCATTAATTCAACAAGATTTCATGACAAAATTGCATAAACTAGGTTCCATGTACTGTTCATGAACATTTAGGATCACCGTATCCGAGGTTAGTCCTCACTATAAGGCTAAACTAAGTTTACCCAGATTCCAAATGATGAAATGAGGAGTCAGTGATAGACCAATCAAGTTTTCGTTATAATCTCAAGCAACTCACAGCTCAGCCAAATGCAAAGTTATAGGACTAGTCCATATTCAAAAATTTCTGCTGAGGAATGGCATGTGAAACTTCTAATGCAGTCAAATGAGAAACCGCAAAATGAAAGAATGAAAGATAACTGGGACTAAGAAGGTGCAGTCGTTTATAAAATCAAAGGCAGATCAGGCATAAAATCTTTTTTTATTGATAACAGGAAATTTCATTAAAATTTTAGTATAACAGTACACACCAGACTAGCATAGTCTGGCCCTAAAGAGTTTATTACAATGCAGCCCAGAACATCTCATTTCTAGTTAAGGCATAAAAATCTATCTTCTCATGCTAGTAGGTATAGACTCCCTACTCAAATGTTCAATTCTCAGCCAAATCAAATTTAGTTTCATGCAATGAACAGCACAAATAGTTCCTTTCTGGTACAAGTACATTTTGGATCCACAATTTCTCCAAGATTAAGGCTTCTGGTGGAAGGTTCCTCATAAAAATACTAGCACAGCACATTTGACATACTTCAACAGAGATGCAAGAGGAAACATCATAAAATTGATACATGTATTTAAAGGAGGTTATTCAACAGTGGTGGGCCACACATTTCCCTTGAGATACATGTAGTTAAAGGAGGTTATTGTATTTCTTTATTCAGAAGGGACAAGTTGATATGGCAATAATTTTTGTCACCAGTTTATGGAGAATTTAAGAAGAAAGAAATTGGAAGGTTGTCCAATGATTGCATCTAATACATCATATCAACGAGATTGATACTGGACCCCCCCCCCCCAAATAACTAATATTTGATCCTCAGACTAATTGTAACAACTAATAGGAGTTTGCAGAAACAAAGGTGTTTAAAATTGAAACTATAACAACCAGTAAGGTATTATCATCATCATCATCTAAGCCCTGTCCCAAATCTCAACTATATGGGATCAGCTACATGAATCCTGTTTCCCAATCTAAAACCAATGTATCAATTATCAATATTATTAAGATATCTCCAATGGTTCAGTTTTTAGGGTCTGATCAATTTAAAGCAGCATTCTCTTCATTTTTTTATAGGAAACGGTAACTATCATTAGATAATTGAAAAGATTACAGGCTTACCACCCACAAAATGGATGGAAAAAGAAAATCAAAAACTTACAAACAGGCCCAAAACAAAGCCTCCCTAGTAACTCCTTGCTTAGCTAAAGTGTCAGCCATTCCATTTGCTGACCTTCTTACCCAATATTCTCTTCATTCGTATTAGAATACCAAGCCCTTAATATCCACTCAAGTGAAATATAACTAGATTGAATTTCAATGTTTGCAAAGTTGGAAATCCAAGTTCTTCAAGAAATTTGGTATTTTGAGGTATAGTCAGAATTAATGGGATTATTGATTTATGCAACAGCAACTGAAAGTTCACATAGAATTAATGGCTATATGGGAATGTGAACTTATTCACATTTTTTATCTGGTTTTAAGTTGCCTTATCCTTGGAAGGCCTTTCATATAGTTATCAAGATTGCCTAGGCAACTAGGCACAAATAGTATTTTGTATTTTATATTTTATATGTTTTTTATGTTTTTTTATCTTGTAGTATGTTGACAATTGAATTGAATGGTGAATGCAGGTATGCCTCTTTCTTGGACTGAAAGAGGAGCTCTGCACCCCTCTTATTCTTCTGTTCTAAATTTTTTCTGAGTTTTCTTCATTTTCTTGGACTGAAACAGGGACTCCACCCCACTCTCCTTTTCTTAATTTTTTTCTGAGTTTTTTCCCATCTTGTTCTTGACTAAAACAAGGGCTCTGCCGACTTTTTCTTATTTACTTTGTTCTTTTTTCCTGAGATTTTTTCTTCTTTCTCTTGGACTGAAACAGGGGCTCCACCCCCTTCTTACTATTCTTCTTTTATTAGGTTTTTTAGCTTGATCCTTCTTTTGTAGGAAAAGAAAGTACTTATTTAATGTTTATAGCTGAATGGTCTAACATGGATGGTAGCATAATATGTAGAAAAAAGGGAAGGGATAAACTCTCTTAACCCCACCGCAAATAAAAATTACAACACAGCCCAAAATAAGCTATTTGTCCCCAACCATCATTTAGCAAGTGTATCCACAAAGGCATTTGCATCTATTCCGACCCAATTACAAGTCACATCTATCCTTTGTAACAGTTTCATGGCTTTCCTCTTCTCATAAATATAGCACCACCACCCAGCTTCCTCTTCTTCTGGAGCCAGCTTATTACAAGCTTTGAGTCACCTTCAATTAACAGCTTCCTAATGTTCAGCTCCTTTGCCTTTTGAATCCCTCCCATAACTACCATAATTTCAGCCCTTAGCGAGTCCCCAACTCCTATTGGACCCAAGAAGAATGCAATGACATTTCCCTCCTCACTCCTGAACACTCCTCCAATGCCAGACGGGCTCGGGTTGCCTTCACTACTACCATCAAAGTTGAGCTTAACAGCACCTCTAGGGGGTGAGGATCATATTGGCCCAACCACCACCATAAAAGGAGAAGAACTAACAATCTCTCTCCAATTTCTCAGCATCTCATCCCTAAGAACATCCTTGAATAGCTCCAACGATTTCACCCAGTGGACCACCTTGATGAAAATTGCTTTAGTAACACCTTATTTGGTTCGTTCTTTATCGAGAAATATTTTCTGGTTCCTTTCTTCCCAAATCGGCCAACAGACCGCTGCCCTTGTGCACCACTAAAGCAATGATCCCCTCTTCTTTGGCCAACTTACGAAAGTAGGAGTGAATAAGCTTTGTACATTAGGCAAAGAGTTCCACCTACACCCAAACAAAGAAAAAAAAAACCATTCCTAAATTGAAGAAGAATAAGGGCAGGAGATTAGTAAGTGATAGTAATTCTTAGCATTAACTTTGCAAAGAGGGCACCAATGGGGGGAGAGGCACCAATTAGGCCTTTTTCTTTGCAATTTCTCACAAGTATTAATTCTTTCCAGATAGATTTCCCAACACAAACCACCCACCCTAGGAAGGATAGGTGAACTCCAAATCTCCTAAGGGAAAGGAAGGTCCCTCATTTTTCACTTGATTGGATAAAGGATGAGAAAAGGACCTACGAGTGAAAGAACTGGATGGTGACAAGGCCCAGATTCAAATATCTCTTCTACCCACATCTAAACACACCCCTTCCAAGCTTTGTAACAAACTAATGACACTATTCATTTCATGATCATGAAGCCCTCTTCTAAGATCCAAATCCCAATTATGCTCAGCAGTTGCACTAGATAGATCCAGGAAACAAGAGATAAGTTCCTCCCTACGGTAGAAAGGGCATAAAGAGAGGGGATTTTTTTTTGGAAAGGTAAGATAAGGCTTTATTAAAAAAAAAATTAATCAGAAACGATAACTTTCAATAGAGATAAATTAAACTGAAATACAGAATTCAACCCTTATCAGAAAAGGTTGATCCAATAAACATCAAACATTACAGCACAGCCCAATAAAGACTCTCCCTTACAGTCCCTTGTTTTGCTAGGGCGTCAGCAAAACCATTTGCTGATCTCCTTACCCACTTGAGCCAAACACCCACCTCCCTTGTTATGCTAAGAATTTCCCTTATCAGCTGTCTATATTGCCAAATTCCCAGCTGCCCTGATTGCATCCACCCAATTGCCAACTTGGAGTCTCCCTCTATCTCAATCTGCTGTAGCCCCAATTGTTTGGCCAGTTTTACACCTTGATGTAGTGCCAAGACTTCCGCTCTTAAGGAATCTCCAACTCCTATTGGACCTGAAAACAAAGCGATTATCTTTCCTTCATTATCTCTGAAAACACCTCCTATACCAGATGGGCCTGGATTACTTATAGAGCTTCCATCAAAGTTCAATTTCACCCTTTGTTGTGCCGGTGGGGACCAAACTTCCTGTATCATAGCTTTGGAAGTAGTAGTGGATGCCACAATACCCCAACTTCTATAAATGTCTTCAACTGARAAATACTTAAAAAGATCACAGGATCTCAACCAATGGATAACCTTAGTAGTTATTCCTTCCAAGCCACACTAAGCTTGGCCGGGAAAGCTGAACAGATAACATACTCCAAATGGAATGGGATCTTAACAACTCAGTTACATTCAGATTTTTGAAATCAGCCTTCACAGAGACCCAAGAAATCAGTTTGCAAACAACAAAGTGAACAAGGTCCTCTGAGTTCTTCACTTTGTTACAGAAAATTCTATTGGTTCTTTCAGTCCAGATAGACCAAAGAACAGCAGCAGGAACAGACTTCCACACAAGCTTTCCTTTCTTCTTCAGACCTTGATCCTTCCAGAAGCACATAAACTCCTTAACTGGTTTTGGCATTACCCAACTTAGCCCAGCAGCATTGAGAAAATGATCTCACACCTTGAAGTGATAGTACAGTGAAGACTCAGGTGGTCTGTAGTTTCAGGTACTAGGCCACAGAGACCACAAGACTGATCCAGAATCTGCAGGCCCCTTCTCTCCAGATTTGATCTTGTAAGACACTTATCTAAAGTCATTGCCCAAAAACAGAAAGTTCACTTTTGAGGGGGGATAGGATTCCAGATCTGCTTCCAAGGGAAACCTGAAAAACCAGACCCGCTTAACTTAACTTTGAGGCCAAGGATCTGACCAAGAAGCATCCATCTCCATTCCATTTCCAACACCACTCATCCTCCTTGCTGTAGTCAATTTCCTGTCTCTGTAACAGGTTCAGCAACTCCAACAATTCACCTAACTCCCAATCAAACATATTTCTTCTGAAAACAGGAGCCCAAACCATTGAATCTTCAGTAGAAATGTAGGACTCAGCCACTGAGGCCTCTTGGTTGGTTGCACACTGAAAGAGGAGAGGGAAAACCTCAGCCAAGGAGCTGTCCAAACACCAAGGGTCTTTCCAAAACTTTAACCTGTCCCCTTTCCCTATCTTAAAGCTCACCCCTTCCATAAAAATAGGGAAGACGTTTCATGACTCCTTTCCAAACAGAGCAACCCCAGTTTGGAAGGAGATCTTGAGAGAGGGGAATTTTGCCTTTAGTGGAAGGTTGCCTACCCAAACATGACCCCAGAATTTGACAAAATTCCCAGAACCAGGACCATACCTGAAAAGTGGTAAAAAAAAGAGGTAGAATATCATAAATTGATTTCCAAGGAGAAATTCTTGTAGCCCTAGCTGAAGTTCCAGAGTCCCAACCAACTATGGCAAGCCCATGGATACTAACTATCACCTTTGCCCACAACTTATCCCTTTGCAATGATAATCTCCACAACCATTTTCCCAACAAAGCCATGTTCCTCTCTTGGATATTCCCAAGGCCTAATCCTCCATGTTTCTTGCTTCTACTCACCACCTCCCAGCTTACCCTATGATCCTTCTTCTCCTCCTCTGGCTCCCACAATAAATCCCTCATCAACTTCTCTAAGCTTCTACTTACCCCAACCAGAATCTTAAATACTGACAAGTAGTAGACGAGTAGATCGGCCAGAGTAGATTTGATTAAAGCAATTCTTCCTCCAAAAGGCAAATAACTGCTCTTCTATGAGGCCAACCTCTTTGTGAACTGTTCTACCACAAGGTCCCAGAAACTGCTCCTCGGATTATTCCCTAAAGGTAAACCCAAATAAGTCAAAGGCCAATGGGACACAGTCAACCCAAAATACCTGCACTCTCCATGATTTCCCTTTCCTCTAGATTTACCCCACCAAGCACTCTCAATGAATCCACCCTTTCAATAAGTCTTCCAAAAGCATCAGCAATTAATGTGAAGAGAAAGGGAGAAAGTGGGTCCCCTTGCCTAATCCCTCTTAAGGCTGCAAAATGATCTACCACTATCCTATTGACCACAATTGAATAATGACATGTCTTAATACATCCCAAAATCCATCTACACCATCTGTCACAAAATCCAAAAGCCTTCATGACATCCCTTAGAAATCCCCAATCCACTAAATCATGAGCCTTTTCCAGATCCAACTTACAAACAAACCCTTTCTTCCCATTTCTCTTCATATCCTCCACACTTTCTTTCACAATTAGAATCTAATCAATTATTTGCCTATCCTTAACAAAACCATCTTGATATTGTGAAATTATGGATGGGAGAACAACCTTAGTTATTCAAGAAAGTAACTTAGCAATTATTTTATAAAGATTGTTAACCAAACTGATTGGTCTGAAATCTTTTGGATGCAAAGCATCATCTTTTTTAGGGATCAAAGCAATGAAGGTTGCATTCAAACCCAGATTAATCACACCCCTTCCAAAAAACTCCTCAAATACCTTCAGCATGTCACCTTTTAATATCTCCCAACAATCTTGGTAGAATGCCATAGTAAAAGCATCAAGGCTGGGTGTTTTAGCCCTGTCCATAGAAAAGATTGCATCCATTATCTCTTCACTGTCAAACCTTCTATCCAACCATCTCTGGGACTCCTCAGAAAGCTTAGGCCACTCCACTCCATCAATCCAAATTCGGTCACTCAAGGGCTTCCTAAAGATTGATTTGAAATGACCCACGAAGGCTTTAGCAATCTCCCTCTAGTGGCAAACACTAACTCCATCCACCTCCAACTTTGAGATGAAATTCTTGTTTCTCCTCCCATTTGCTAATGCGTGAAAATTTTTTGTGTTCTTATCCCCCTCCTTGATCCACTTGCTCCTAGATTTCTACCTCCAACTTATTTCCTCTTTCATTAAAAGATCCTCCAACTCCATTTATCAAAAAAAAAAAAAAAAAAAGATCCTCCAACTCCTTTCTCAAGGACCACCTTTCGTTCCTGTCACTTTCTTCCAAGGTACCAAACACTTCCTTTCCATCCAGCTACTCAGTTTTAGTAATCAGAGTTTGCTTTTAATCCTCAATCCTTCCAAACTGTTGTAAATTCCATTCTTTGATCTTGCCTTTAAGCTCTTTTTACTTCCAATAGAACCTCATTCCTTCCTATTTTGTTGTCGAATTGCTCTCCTACCACCAGCCTTTAACTCTATCTTTAAATCCATTAGCACATAACCACCTATTCTCGAATATGAACGGATCTGGACCTCCATCACCCAAGTTTTCCTCAGAAATAGAAATTGGCCAATGATCTGAATTCACTTTTGGCAAGGCTTTAGAGACTAGACCCCTCCAATGATCTCCCCAATCAATTGTGAATAGAAATCTATCTAATTTTGAGCAAATTGAGTAGGCCTATAAATTGGACCAAGAAAAATGTTATAAGAGAGAGGTAGTTCCTTCAGCCCAAAAGCATCAATAACTTGATTAAATCTCCTCATACTCAAATGTATTCTCCTTCTCATATTATTAGTTTCTTCCAAGAATCTTATCACATTAAAATCCCCTCCTATACACCATGGCCCATCCCACAATCCCCTAATGTCTTCCAATTCTTCCCAAAACTTTTTCTCTTCCTTAATTCATTAGGCCCATAGACATTTCACAACACCCACTCAAATTCATTTGTAACTTGTTTAAACTTAACAGAGACTGAAAATTTTCCCACCAGTTCCTCCATTTCAAGTACAACCTCATTGTTCCACATTGTCACAATACAACTTGAAGCCCCCCACAAAGGACACACAATCCAACTCCAACCCCTGGCTTTCCAAAAACTCCTAGCCCATTTTTTATCAAATTCCATCACCTTAGATTATTGAATTAAAACAATATCCGGTTTCTCCTTTCTTAGCAACTCTTTAATAGTGACTCTTTTCCTTGCCCTCCCTAACCCTCTAACATTCTAACCTACAATCTTCATTACTCTTCTCAAACAATTAACCCTTTTCCAAACTTCTTCTACTTGTTACCCCTCACCCTTCCCTTTCTTCCACTAAACTCCTTATCTCCCCCTACATCTTTTTTTAGTCTTTCCACTTCACTCAACTTCCTTCTTCTCAGCTTACCTCCCTCCTTGTTCTTTCTCAAATACGCTTTCATATCATTTGTCTCTTGTAATTTACACCCTAATTTCTCCACAAATTCAGCCATTTGATTTGTATGCCCCAACCCATCATCCTCCCCCCATTTGACAATCACCTCCAAAGATTGTAACATGTTCATTAGGCTCACTCCCATCATCCCTTTGACATTATTCATTTGCTTCTTTGAAATAGTTAATTTGCTAGGCCAAAAAAAAATGAAGTCATTGATCTGCATTATATTTGAAGTGTTGAAATTAATATATTTAAGTGTTTATCTTCTCATGAATATACTGATTTTCTATGTTTTGATATGAATTCTGTAGTTATTTGATGAATATTATTGTTAATTATTAGTAGAGATACTTATTGGTTAATATGCAGAATAGGAAATCAGTTTATGATTTAGGGTTTTTTTCAAAACTTATCATCCTGGTATGTAGGCACTTCCTGGTCACCTAGCTTTGCCTTGGCACCTTGGCAATAATGGGCATTGAGTCTAATTCCCCCTCCTAATAGGGTATTAAGACAATTCTAATTTAATCTCAGATTTTGTGTTCAAAAAGCTCTATTGATCTGGCTATTGATTAAAAAGAATGTGCAAAACTGCAACCAACTGCTAAACAGTAAACACTAGGACAGGTAATGAGCTTATAGCCACCAATCACCTGAACATTAACACAGCCAATAGACGGTCCTAAGCAGAAATGTTGATCACTTAAGCTTCACCTAAGAAATGTATTACCGAAATTGTTTATAGATTGTTTCCATATCATTTTTTTATTGGAATCGTATCTTTTCAAATTTCATATATACACACATGCATACATAAATATACATAGACATGCACATGTGGTATGGTATCAGAGAAATGACACAGTAAATGCCATCAGCCATGTTACATTTCTCCAAATTAACTTGGGATTTGGACCAAATTTCATACTTGGCTGTAAATATCAGTCCCTCACATACAAGGACATACCTTATTGATTGCTCCAGATAAAGCTGTAGTTATCAGCATCATACTACTTTCATAGGACACATCCTCACATGAGCCAGGCCACCAAACATACGGAATCAAGCATTGCAAATCTTGCTTGTTCAGACCCTTCCTTGATAGAAAACCTTCCAACAAGAACTCAAAATCAGATGAATTCCACCAAAGTGTCATTAGTTCTTCCCGCCTTAGCATATGACATGCTAATGCAAGATAAGAGTATGAGCCTGAATATGGACACTCCATTAGAACCAATGGAGCTGTTTTACAACTACACGAAAGGGAATTGATAACATATAGGAACATCAAACGAGATCCTCCAAATTCTAGAAAAAGGTCAACAACTCCATCCAAGTTTGTATAGTTGTGAGGTGCCTGTTTTCCAAATGTTTCCAGTAAGAATGACACAAGAGGTCCCCAGCTAACATATTCCACACTCCCCAATTCTTGATCAACTGCAGAGAAGAACTCCTCGCAGATCCCACGTGCAATTGGGTGGTAAAGTTCTTCAAGTGGCACAAACCTCTTCAATCTTCTTAGTTTCTCAACAGAAGTGGAGTCTGTATTTTCCATGAATTTAAGTTCCAATAGCCTTGACAAACAACGTAGTAAGTGTGTGGCAAGGGGGTTTACACTGGGAGAATTTTGAAGTGGTTGAAACCCTTTGATTGGGTATCTAAAGGGAAGGGCCCCAAAATTCAAATTACAACGCTCACCTCGAGAAAGAGAAATTGCAGGATAATAGCCAAGTCCAGGTCCCATCTTGCTAACCCCATAGAATGCCACCCCAAGTGAGACACCATTCCTATAAAATGAGATCTGATTATGATCCAAATCTATGCAGCAGCCAATTACATCACCAACAACCCATGATTGACCATATGGTTCAGGATCCTTATTCCACTTCTTCACCCTGTGTCCATCAAAAGCATATGAATCTTCTGCATCCCCTACACCTTTATTCTCAGTGAAGGGACATGAAATTGTGGCCCATCCAAGCTGCTGTATCCCTGACGTTTCTAGAATCACTTCATACATCCATTTTCCTTTCCAAACACATGCATTGGCCCTAGCACTACTGAACATAGCTAGGCTCTCTACCAGAAAATGTTGCTTGAAAATCCGAATATCACCACAGATGCTAGTTTCATCCACTGCAACAGTATTGGGTCCACAACCACTGTCCGCAATAGATACTCCGTCTCTGTTACTAAGGATGACATCCCGATTAACCCTATGTTTGAAAATGTCACTCTTCAAAGTACAGCGAATAAAATCAGTGTCAACTGGACCGCTCAATGAAGAAATTGACTTGTAAGGGAGATCAAATATATGTTCAAGAGCCCGCTCCACAGACTGGTGTCCAATGTCATCGTAATAAGAAATAAGATGGCTTTTCTGAGGATTATCTTTCCGATCTCCAGAGGCTAATATCACAGCCAAACCCGAAGAAAGCCCGCCAATCTTTAGGCTGCCTTCTGCCATTGGTGGGGAGGATAAACGTCCTCCCCCAATAATCAATTATGTAAAATGAATAAAAGTTAGCACCCAAAACTTCTTGAATGAATTATGTATCCACAAATGAAACTGATCAATTCCTAATAACCCGCGATCCCTGCAAAGGAGTTCTCCTGCTGACCACAAAATTACAATTTTTCGATACAATCTGTATACATTCCCATGATTCCATAGAGAACCTTCACTGCACAGAGCCATAAAGAAAAACTCAATTTTACCATAAAAATAATAAAAAGGAATAATCGTGATAACCTTAACAAAAATTCTCGAGAAAGAAATTTGATTTTTTTCATAATTTCCATAAAATCAACAAACGAAAAACAGATAAAGAGAAGAAAATTGGATAAAGAAAGATAAGCCACCAGAAACTACTTCTGATTAAGCTATTACGTCGAAAAGTTCGTGACAAAGAGACGTGAAAGCGAAGAGGTTATAAAAAATTAGAAACTCGAAAAGCTTACGGGCCACGGAGCTCTGAGACTTTCAGCGCCGACAAGAACGCTTATGTATTCACCTTCCGCCCCTTCAAAGCCAAAGAGAAAGCAGACGAATATCAGGATTTTCAGACGCCATTAACGGGGGCAGAGAGAGAGAGAGAGAGAGAGAGGCAAAATGCAATGCCGAAAATGAAGTTTGTTTTTTTGCCAAAACTCAAGGAATTCAACGAACCACACAGACAAAGCAGCTCCCGCACGCTGACTGGAACCCTAAAAGAGGTCAGCTTACACGTGCCGGTGTCGTGTGGAAGCAAACCCCGATGACGTGGCTCGCGTGGATATCTTACGTCCCCCAATACATCACCTCTTCAAGGTCTACGTCCCGCGTCAAAACTTTATCACCAAGGTGGTCCTCCATCAGATGGTCACCAACCTACATATCTTATTTTCGTTCGGTGCTCCCTCTTCTCTGCGTATACTTCTCTTTCTCGGCTATCGCTATATTTTTTGCTTTTTCTTTCTCGCGAATATTGTGGACTGCGCAACGCTACAGTGCGGCAAAGATTCGATCTTTGTCCCGTGAAGATGCTCTTCTTGTGATTGGGATGCATACACGTGGCCAAGCCAAGATAGACTCATAATTACTCTTCTGGCCTCTCGGGCGAATGGAATTTCAGGTGCCACCTCATGCCAGATTTGTCAGGATTGAGAGAGAAAATATGGCGTCGATAATGTCACATCCAACGGCTGACATATGAAGGGGCCCATTATTTGCCCTAAAAAATGAAGAAGCCGCTTTCCCACTGAGGTAGAATTGGGGGAATAGACATAAGAGGAAGTGATAATTAGTTAAATACTAATAATAATAATAATAATAAATAAATATTATAATTAGTTAAATAATAATAATTTTAACATGTTTAGTGTGGAGTCAGATTTTAATTGACGTGATTACCTGATTGGGTTCCCCGGGGCTTTCCACGAGCCACGACCATGAAAGGAACTACAGGCAGCAGGCAACGGCTTGAGAATTGAGAGGTGTGAATCGTGTGACCCACCACACAGAAGATGAAGCCTGGATGGCCCGCATATACGGAATCAATCCCGTCCATTGTCATTCATTTTCTTCCTTGTTACTCAACCCGAAAAGGAGAGAGGAAATGAGCGATGAATGGGGAGATAGCATGAAGAAATACAATTCCATTGTAAATAGCTGATATTTATGTTCAGAGAAATAGAAGAAGTGAAGGTTTTGTGGCTTCTAACTTCTAAGGGGCCCATATGGAAATTTCTGAAACTATGTGAAAATCTGAAAAATTTAATAGAATAGACTCCGAAATCCGAATAACAATCGCATTTATGGCATCTACAACACAAGGATCAATTTTTCAGATTTTTACTAAATACAACTTCTGTAAATCCTATGTAACGCTCAGTTGGCCCTCCCAAACGGACTCCAGGCTTTCGTTACAAATACAATAACTGTCCCCCCAGCGGGGCCTTGGAATCAAATCCGAGTGTAACTAGGGTTGGGGTTCGATCTTAAAGTTGGAAAAAGTACAAATGACATTCTGTATAACCAAATGCACGTGCACTACCAGAATAGTAATTTGCGCAATCAGTGACACATTGTGGGTCCAAAGCAGTGGAAGATATTTTCAGATCGAAGCACATGTGATTGATACTGAGGAATATATTAGTAGTAAGCTTGTATATATATATATATGGACCTCGTTGGCCGGGGGAGGGGGATGTTTCAATATGATTTTAATTACTCAACACTTTGGCCTTCTTTAATAATCCCTAGAAAGGGACACCAAGAGTCACGATACTCTTCACATATTTAAGGGGTCTTTACAGAATATAGTGTTTTGAGCATATTTCAATCTTTTCTGTCGTTTGCAAAAGGTTTCTGAGATTTTTCTATTGGTGCCCAGTGGTTTGTCTCTGTTTCATCATTGTTCGGTTTTCTACGCATTTGTAAATGAAATTTGCCTTTTCAGGCTTTAAAAAAATAAATGTCTATATACATACTTTGCTTCAGGACAAAATTACCATGTTCTGAGTGGTTCAGGCCCAATCACAATTACATCAAGATTTATTTTGATATCTCTTGTTTGAAGGGTGGCAAATGTGCAATTGATTGTATAGCTAAAAACCATCAAGGCAAAATCCTAGAGTCTAAAGCTATTGGAATTGGAATTACGACTATCAATCTCCCAGAAGCTTGGGAAGTCATTAATATGACTATCAACTATAGAGATCAGAAAATCATCATAGAAGGTGACTCTAAGTTAGTAATCGGCTACCTCAATGGTAGACTTGTGCCTAGGGGTGGCAACCAGCCGAGCTTTTCACAAATTGTTCGAGCTCGGCTCGATTTGGTTTCAGCTGAGCTCAGCTCGTGAGGCTTGCGATATATATATATATATAATAAAATTGTATAAAATAATATATAATAAAAATATTATATTTCTTAATTTTTTAAATATAAAATAAAAAAAATTATATATAATTTTTATTTTTATAAAATATTTTTTCTAAATATTTTTATAAAATATAAAGCGAGCCAAGCCAAACTGAGCTCGAGCTTATGAACTTTTGACTTGAGCCAAGCTCGAGCTCAAGGTTCTGGCTCGAATCAAGCTCAAGCTCGAACTCGAGTCGGGTACTATTTGACTCAGCTTGGCTCGAATCCACCCCTACTTGCACCTCTATGGAGATTGGAAAGTGTTATCAAAGAATGTTAGAACCTAGTGGACTTCTTCAACTTAAATATCAAATTCAAGCATGCGTACTGGGAAGCAAATCAAGCGGCTGACTGGTTAACTCGTAAAGCTCTTAACAGCAAGGGGTGATAAGGAATTCAGGTTTAGTGATTTTCTTTTTATTTGTGATTTGGATGTAAGGGGAAGAGCTACCCCCAGGTTTGTGTAGCTCATCTTTTCCTATAAAAAAAAACTACCATGTTATAAATCTAATTCATTTATTTTCTATCACAATCATCTAATAGAAAATTGATTAAATCCATTATAAATTATAAGTGGTGTTTTAGTAAAATGCTAACTATAGGGTAGATTTTAATCAATTTATGAAACTATAAAGGGTATTTGAATAAATAACTCTTTCTATTATTTAGCTTTCGCTTAACAAATTCCGTGCATCGCACGGGTCCCCGTTAGTATATAATAATATCTGAATCTTTAAATTTATACTTGTATCTACATAAAGTTGCTATATAACTATTAGTAAAGTTGGTTTTTATGTTGTGTTCACTAGAACCATAAGTTCAAGTCATCAAGTGTCGTTATTCATAATATTTAATACAAAATTGATCATTTTAATTATTTTATTACTAATATGTAAATATTTTTATTATTTTAAGTTTAATTTGTTGATAACAAGTCGGAATGTGCTGAAATAGATTGTATTGACTACTCTAGATCTCCTACCCACAAGGACTCTACCCACTACTATCCACAAAATACTACCTCCATGTATTCGGAACGTTCGGACTCTTAATTGATAGGAGATTGATCTGGACTTTCTGATAACATATGCAATATCTCATTTCAATTCTAACCAAAATGAGATGAGATTTTAAATAGCATCAAATCAAATTTGGATTAAGCAAATCCTATTCGAGCCGACTCCTAGGGTGGGTTGGTATGACCATATGAAATTAAATATTATCCTAACAATTCATTGCAGTCGTACATTAGGAACATATCCTCTAGTTAGGAAAAGATTTTGGCTCCATATTGGCAAATAGACAAATCATTTAGCCCTTATTCAATGAGAGATGGTAGGTTGGATGTCAATATCAAATTGGACCTAGTTAGAATATGCCCTGCCCCACCAAGCCAAGTTGGGCCCTAATCCAACATTTAAAACTCAAGTCTTCTCCTCATAAAGAAGCATCAGGATATTATTCACGTGAATCGTCAATAATTATTATTATTATTATTATTATTATTATTATTATGTCCATAAGATTAACAACGGAGAATAGTCCATCCCTGAAATCCATATAACCCCCAACCTTAATACAAATAGGTAGGATTAGCTCCCAAATTTCTACTACAACCAGCCGGGGCTTACTAATCAAACAGTTGGCACATTGTTACTACAATTCAATTATGAAAACCAATGAAACATTACTTGGTATAAGTTGTAACTTCTTGGGCTGGCAATTATGAAAATGAAAATTAAGAGAAATCAGCCTATGCAAAGAAAAAGTTGATATCCAGTCTATTCCTTCCAAGAGTCCGGATAGATGGGGCCGACATTGGAAAATGGCCTTTTTTTCTCTATTATGAGGATTAGTCGGTGTATGATCATATGGTTTCAAAAGGGATCATGGAAAGCGTCGTGTCTTTTCTATCATTTTTTTCTCCATAAGCATGAATAGGTTTATTTGACCGGGATTGATGATTCGATGAAATGCTTTCATGTGAGGAAGCCATGTTATATGTTAATCATACTGTGTTCGATATCCACTTGCTCAAATTCAAACAAAAGAAAGAGGGGTGGTTAAGGCAAATCGTATTTTGTAAACAGGATATATTTGTGCGTCAGTGTGTACGCAAGAGAGAGATGGATAGAGAGAGAAAGACTGTATTATGGGTTCAAGGTTGTTCACAAATTTAGCCCAGCTAGTGGGCTCCTCAATGAAAGTATTCTCGTGCTATTCCAATAGGTGAGATGGTCACTCAATATCCCTTTAAATATAAAGCGGATGTTTGGAATCGTGGTTGTTTTTTCAAAAAAAATGGTGCAACGTTGGGATTCACATAGGTGTTTCAACAAACACTCATGTATCTCATTATTTAGTTTAGCCGATTATTGAAAAATTGGGCATGCCTCAAAAGTCGGAACCCACTGATGCATGAAATGTCAAATTTGATGTTTCATGCATCGGTGAACCATTTCCCCCAATAATTGACTGATGTGTGTCTTATGTGGTGCTTGCCTGTCAGCACATACATGAAAAAATAGTAATAAAAATCACCTTATCAAACAACATAATATTGTTCACTGCCTACGTGGCAAAAGCGTTTTTTTTGTAAAAAACGGGTCTTGGAAGTATGAACATTTTTTCTTAAAAATCAGTCCAAAGGTGTAAGATCAAACCCACTAATTGCTTATTGCATTTCACCGTGGTAAGGTCAATGGACCTCATGTGCACCCTGCCCTACTCCTTAACTCTTCGGTTGTATTTGGTTT